GGGGCGGAGGGGAGGGAAGGTAGTGGGGGGAAGGGGAAGGGTGGGGGGATTGGGAAAGGAGGGGAGGGGAGGGGAGGGGAGGGGAGGGGTGGGGAGGGGAGGGGAGGGGCGGGGAGGGGAGGGGCGGGGAGGGAGGTTGCTAGCGATTCCAAGACCAAGGCAATCCATGGAGAACAAAGAGGGGCGGACACCAGATTTGAACTACGGAAACAGCAAACATTGCAAGCACGGATGGAAGGTGGAAGGTGCAACGGAGAAGGCAGGGGTTGAGAGGCGGGAGACGGGAATTCGGAGGTGTGGGGAGTTGTGGAGAGGTGTGGAGGGGAGTGGAGAGGTGTGGGGAGACTTGGGGAGGTGCAAATAGGGGTGAGGCGGACCAGTTTGGAGAGGTTGATGCCGCTAAGGTTGACTCCTCGTAGCCGCACTCGCTTGCTCTGAATGGCCATGATCACCTGGCAGACACATGCACGTAGACGGTCAGGTGCGGTGGGTGTTGGAGGTGTTGGTTGGTGGTGGGTGGGGGTGGGTAAGGAGAGAGGGAACGGACAAGGGGGTTATTTGGAGGGGTTGTGGAGGTTGGAAGAGGAGAGGGTAGTGGAGTGGAGGGATGGTGTGATGCGAGACAAGCACGTGAGTGGGGATGAACGGATATCTTTTTAAAAACGTTGGAAAGAGGATGAGGGAAGTGAGAGAAAGAGGAAAATGGGGAAAGGGGGCAAGGAGAACGAGGAGGGGGGAGGGTGGGATGGGATGCACAAATTCATACCACTCCCCACATGCCAAGGCCCAAGGCGATGCAATGGGCAGCACCAGCACGCATGATAAGAAAAGGAACACAGTGTGGCACGGCGCAGCAGAGCATGGCACTGCAGGGGTAGCGCACGCATGGCAAGAAGCAGCGGGTGTGGCATGGGGTGGGATGGCAGCGCAGAGGGTAAGGTAAGGGTAACAGCAGGCACATTCAGTGAGAGAGAGCGAGAAGGTGAGAGCGAGAGAGTCTGAGAGAGAAGGATTGGAGAGGAGAGGTGAGGAGAGGAGAGGAGAGGAAAAGGGCGGAGAGAGGGACCTCTTTGCGTGTGAGCTCGGGCGCGTCATCGTCCTCCACCTTGAGCGTGGCCACTAGCTGCGCATGGAACTCCTGCTCCCATGCCATGCCATGCCATGTGATATCCCCATGCACCGCCCACACCGCACATGGAGCACCGTTAGTGGAGGGGACGTGCAGCGACGTGGGGAAGAGAGGAATGGTACAGGAAGGGGAGGGGAGAGATGGGGAGAGGGAGAGGGGAGAGGTGAGACCGGGAGATGGGGAGAAGGGAGAGGAAGACGGGGAGAGGGGAGGGAGGAGAGAGGGCAAAGGGGGCAAAGGGAAATGGGGAGAGGGGAGGGGGGAGAGGGAAGAGGGTAGAGGGTAGAGGGGAGAGGGGAGAGGGGAGAAGGGAGAGGGGAGAAGGGAAAGGAGAGATCGGGTAGGGAGGAGCGGCAAAAAGGGTATCATTAAGCAGTGAGAGTCTCTATCGATTGTTGCTTGTGTTGCAGGCTAGGAGGCAGAGGCAGAGGCAGAGGCAGAGGCAGAGGCAGTGGCAGAGGCAGATGCAGAGGCAGTGGCAGAGGCAGTGGCAGTGGCAGTGGCAGTGGCAGAGGCAGTGGCAGTGGCAGTGGCAGTGGCAGTGGCAGTGGCAGTGGCAGAGGCAGAGTCAGTGGCAGAGGCAGAGGCAGTGGCAGTGGCAGTGGCAGTGGCAGTGGCAGTGGCAGAGGCAGAGTCAGTGGCAGAGGCAGAGGCAGTGGCAGTGGCAGTGGCAGTGGCAGTGGCAGAGGCAGAGTCAGTGGCAGAGGCAGAGGCAGTGGCAGTGGCAGTGGCAGTGGCAGTGGCAGTGGCAGTGGCAGTGGCAGTGGCAGTGGCAGTGGCAGTGGCAGTGGCAGTGGCAGTGGCAGTGGCAGTGGCAGTGGCAGGCAGTGGCAGTGGCAGTGGCAGTGGCAGTGGCAGTGGCAGTGGCAGTGGCAGAGGCAGTGGCAGTGGCAGTGGCAGAGGCAGTGGCAGTGGCAGTGGCAGTGGCAGTGGCAGTGGCAGTGGCAGTGGCAGTGGCAGAGGCAGAGTCAGTGGCAGAGGCAGAGGCAGTGGCAGTGGCAGTGGCAGTGGCAGTGGCAGTGGCAGTGGCAGTGGCAGTGGCAGTGGCAGTGGCAGTGGCAGTGGCAGTGGCAGGCAGTGGCAGTGGCAGTGGCAGTGGCAGTGGCAGTGGCAGTGGCAGAGGCAGTGGCAGTGGCAGTGGCAGTGGCAGTGGCAGTGGCAGTGGCAGTGGCCGCCCACCCACCCACCCACCCACCCACCCACCCAGCCAGCCAGGCAGCCAGCCACCCAGCCAGCCAGGCAGCCAGCCAGGCAGCCCCCCAGGCAGCCGCCCAACCCCAGCGCACCCCGAGTTGGAAGTACTCGGCCTCGCGCATGAGCTCGTGGAAGAGCGCCACGTCCAGCAGCGGCACCGCACCGTCTCGCAGCCAGTTGAGCACGTGGCAGAAGTGCCTCCCGTCCCGGTCTATGAACACGGATGACTGTGCGGTGCGGAGGGGTATGTGGGGGTGGGTTGGGGTGGGGGCGGATGCGGGAGGATGGGGGAGAATGGAAGAGGATGGTGGGGGATGGCGGGGGATGGAGGGAATGGCGCATGATTGGGGGGGATGGAGGGGGATGCGGGGGGTTGAGAAACGATGGGAAGCGAGGGGGGGAGGTGGGAAGGAGGTGAGAGGAGACAAGGTGAAAAGATGCGAGTGGTTCACGGGGGATGAGAGGGTAAAGAGAGTGGGGAGAAGAAGAGGATTAGAGAGTCATCCTGCCAAGGACAGTCACGCAGCATAAGTAATTTCGTTGCCAGTGGGGCGGGGAGGGGAAGGGCGGAGAGAGGATAGGGAAAACGGGAGTGGGGGCGGGGGGGTGGTGGGTGAGGTTTGCGCGCAGCTGGAAGGGCAAGAGGAAAAAGATAGATTGAGGGAACGCGAGGTGGGAAGGCAGGCAGAGAGGGAGGTAGACAGGCAGGGAGGCAAGCAGGCAGGGAAGCAGCGGCAGGGACGCGTGTGGTTAGGCGTGCACCTTGTTGGCGGTGTCGTAGTGCAGGGTGTGCCGGCCGCTGAACATGGCGGCCAGCATGGAGTCGCTGTCGCGCTGCGTCACCGTCTCCACCGTCGTCTCGTAGCACGTGCCGCCTGCCGCCGCGCGGAAAGGGGAGGGGGTGGGGAGGGGGGGAGTAAGGGGGAGGCAGTGGAATGCGGGGAGAGGGGGGAAAGAGGAATGGGAGAATAGAGAGGAGAGGAGTGTTTTGAATTTCAAGGGAGGAGGGAATAAGGGGGTGATGGATTTCAGGTTGCGTGTGGTCGAGCCGTGCAAGAAAGCACTGGACCATCTTCCCGTCCAATACTGCTGTGCTTCACGCGGCATTGCGGCTCTCGCTCGCTCTCTCACCATGCTCACTATGCTCCACCACTTACCACGCTCCAGAGTTCCAACTAACTCACCCACGTTAATGCACACGCGCGACGACCCCACTTCTCTCTCCCCGCAGTCTCCGCCGCCCTCCATGCCGTGTGCCATCCGCCAAATCCTGCCGCCACCCTACCGCCCGAGAATCCTGGCAGCCACCCACTCGATTGGCAGTAGAACCTAGCCAGACAAACGGCCTAATTGGCGGTTTCAGGCCTTCGCAGCCGTTACGCTGGCGGAATCAATTCGTGGACGACAACAAAATGACGAAAACGCCGTGGAGTATCAGAGGCATTCGCGAACGGAGGTCGCTAGGCTGGGATACTGTCTTGGTAAAGAGTCGCTTCGTGGCGAAGGAGGGTTAGAGGAGGCACGAAAGTGGAATATAAGAGCGACGGTTTGGCCCGCCAAGGAAGGTGAAATGCAAACGAGGAGGAGAATGGATGTAGAGGAGGGCCAGGAAACCGACGAAAGCGTGAAACTACAAGAGGAACTATGGGAAGTCTAAGGAATAGGGACTAACAGAGAGTTCGCGTGCCAACAGCATTTTTCATAAGTGAAGCATCCACTCCAGCAACTCCCCAGCCAACTTGGGTTGGTGAGAAAATGTGAGCAGCGAAATACCCACTATTCGCACGGAAGAAACACGTGTACGTGTAACATCGCCGACTGAAAATAATCGCAACAGCCAGGAAAGAGTGGGTGGATGGGAAAGTTAGAGGATATTGACGGGGAGCGTTGACCATTGGTGGTGTGATGTGGTGTGGCGAGGCTTCGTCATCAAGGCACTTGTCGGTAATGAATGGCTCAGTATCTGGGAGGAGGTGCTGCTAACAGTTGGGTATAACTTATTTCACAAGGTTCAACTAGTTTTGAATCAAGTTCTTGCACCAATAAAATACTAAACGATAGAAAATAAAAGTTATTGTTACTGGATAAGTAATTTAGTATATTAAGCGGGCTATATTCTCATATTACAAATCAATGGATTGCAGGTGACTAGAAATATGGGATCATACATACTCATGTCATCTGAACAAATACCAATAAAAAAAGCAGCACCATGAAATGAAATATCGATAGCAGAATAACTATATAGCTTGCAATAGTTTTACAAGTTTTGAACTAAGAATTATTTCTGTATTTGAATGTAGGTAATATTTATTCAGAGAAGCTCTGATCACTAGCGTATCGTCACTAGAACACCCTTCCAATTCGCTTCGGTTTCGCATCGCAAGCCCGTGGTGAGTCCAGTCACCCAGGCATTCGGCGAAACGGATTGGTGGAGACGACGGCACCTGATTCGTTCTCAAAATTCCGCATTGGCGACAAGATCGCTTCAGCGGATAAGGCAGTGCCTGGTCAGCATTCGATCAGGGAACCCAGACACTCCCCCCAGCAGGGAGGGCTGCTCTGAAGGAAAACCCAGGAACCAATTTTACGCTCAGCAAGGCCAATCCGTGAACTTCGCCACCAGAGGAACCTCAGGATCCCAAACCCTTCCTGAAAATCCCTCCAGCCTTCAGCCATGGCCGCTGCCGTCGCTAGCCGTGCTCTCCTTGCCGCTCCGGCTGCTGCCGTTGCCAAGGCTCAGACCAAGAGGGCTTTCTTCGGCAACATTGCTGGTCTGGCACCCGTTGCCCGCCGCTCCACCCCCGTGGTGAAGTCCCTGGCCGTCAAGGCTGAGACCAACTACCAGGTCATCGAGCCCCTCAATGGCGACCCCTTCGTCGGTGGCCTCGAGACCCCCGTGACCTCTGCTCCCCTGGTCGCCTGGTTCCTGTCCAACCTCCCCGGCTACCGCACTGGTGTGAACCCCCTCCTCCGCGGTGTGGAGGTCGGCCTTGCTCACGGCTACCTCCTCGTCGGCCCCTTCGTCTGCGTAAGTTAGCGTTCTCGTTGCTACTTGCTTGGTATTTTTGAATCGCGCGTCTTACATTCCTTTCTAATGTGTACTACGCTCATTTCTTGGCTTCGTGCAGACTGGTCCTCTCCGCGGCACTGAGGTTGGCCAAGTTGCCGGTACCCTCGGCGCTGCTGCTCTGGTCGCCATCCTGTCCATGTGCCTGACCGTGTACGGCATTGCCTCGTTCAAGGAGGGCGCTCCCTCCACCGGCTCCACTCTGACTCTCAGCGGCCGCACGAAGGAGGCTGACAAGCTCCAGGTATTCATCAGTTCCTTGATAGTACTCTAATCTCATATGTTGTCGTTCTTGTGCTGGCGAACTTAGATTCTGCATTTGCTGATGCTGTCGTTCTCGGTGATCTTGCAGACTGCTGACGGCTGGGCTTCATTCGCTGGCGGTTTCTTCTTCGGTGGCCTGTCGGGTGTCGCCTGGGCATACATCCTGCTCTACGTTCTGGACCTGCCCTACCCCGTCAAGTAAATGGAATAGTAATTTGTATCTAGAAATGATATGAACATAGTGAATTCATTTTTTACTATGACTCTGGATATACCAATAACTACACGAAATGCAACCGTTACGAATAACGAATTAGCACGATTCTCCACAAATTGTAAATGGAGCCTGTACAAAAAACCAAATGACGCAGGGTTACATTCTTCCCGTCGCAACAGTCAGTAACAACCCACAACACGAATCATGCGATAGCTGCACATCGCCCTTGACATGATAACATCCCTTTTCAGTGCCAAGATGAGAAACATAATTGCACCGATTTGGGCATGAGTCGGGTCGTGCCGCCCGTCGCCATTACAGGGCAGCCGCAGGGCCTCGGGGCTGGTGGCGCGTCGAGCCGTGCAGCACTGCGGAGGAGAAGCGCTCAGTTAAAAGCCTTGCGAGCAGTCGTGTTCCTCGTGCTGCTCGCGGCTTTCATACACCTGCTAGTAAGCAGTCCTCTGCCATACTTTGTCTTGTTTCTACCACGGCTAGCGTTGCTTACGCGAATGCGGCCAGGTCGTGAACCGTCGCGCTCATACTAGAAGAACCTGACCACCTCGTTCGTTCTGTTTGCTAAAAACCGCGTCCATTCCGCAGGTGACGTCTCGCAGCCGAAGCGCGTCGCTGGCAGCTGAAGTGCTTAAGAACCTACATCGAGGCTCCTCCGCAAACCCTGCCAATGTTTCGCTAATCTCGGCTCCCTCCCAGCAGCAGCAGCAGCCCGTGCAAGTATGTTAAGCTATGAAGAGTGGCGAAAGCTCATGACATCCATTATCTTTGTGCGCTGTACCACATTCCCTCGGTTTGTCCTCAAACGCTTTAAATACACATCATCTCATCCCGTCGTTTCGTGCTATTCATCCCGTTTCTTCCTGGTGCCCATTTCCTCACCCAATGGGCCATTTTAACTCTCTTCTTTTCCCTTTCTTTCCCAACCAAACCTACAGAAACAACTGTTGCTCCCCAACCTGCCTCGATTTCTGCCAGGTGAGGTTTCTCACCCGTTTCTTTGCCAGCCCCCTGGTGTTTTGCGTTCACTGTGCGCCCCCTCCCTTCCTCTCACACATGCACTCACGCTGTCTCTCTCCCTCAGTACTACCCCGTGCTGCCTTGCTCCTCTTGCCCGCCCACCTATCGTCCAGTCTCCCAGCGTCCATCTTCCGGCGACTCACATTGCCTCCTCCCCTCCCAGCGTCCACTCTCTTCCCAGCAGATGAGCCAGCCGCTGGGGTTTCTGTTCCGTCAGCCCCTTCCACGAGAGAAGGTAGCAGCGCAGCAACATCACTAGCAGCTGCCGGGATTGATGAAAGCACCACCACAGCTGGCACTGAAAGTACTGGAACCGCTCACAGCTTGGATAATGGCAGTAACAGCAGCAGCATTACCCCGGTGTTAGGGTTAGGAGGAGAGCGTGTGCGTGCAGTGCTGCCACCGAGGGACCTTGCACGCGAGGAGACGAGAAGGGAGGAGACAGGGAGGGGAGGATTTGTGGGTCGAGTAGATGGTGAAGGTGGAGTGACAGAGGAAGGAGTGCGTGTGGTGGATGCTGCTGGGGAGATAGGTGCTGGGCAAGGAGAGGAGGGAGAGGGAAGGGAAAGAGAAGAGGAAGGAGGAGGAGGAAGGGTAGGAGGAGTACCAGGAGGAAGGGAGCGAGGTGCGTTGGAAGGTTCGAAAAAGAAGACAAAGGCAGGGAGAGAAGGGCGCAAGAGGGTGAAGAAGCGGAGAGTGAGAAGGATTCGTGTGAGGAGAAAGAAGAGGAATAGAGGGAGGATGCAAGGAGTGGAGGTGGAAGGAGATGAAAGAGACGAGCGCACAGGTGGTGGGAGAGCAGCAGCAGTGTCAGCAGAGGCAGAGAATTTGGATGCTGATGTTGGAGAAGCAGTGGTGGTGGGTGGAGAGCGGCAGAATGAAGATGGCCGGAGCTCTGGCGTTGGTGGTGGTGGTGGTGATGCTGATGGGGAGAGAATAGATGCTGATGAAGATGAGGAGGGGAGTAGCTCTGTGAAAAAAAATATGAGGGAGATTGAGGAGGATGAAGGGAAGGAGGAAAATATGGGGGAAGAGAAGGAGGAATTAAAAGGGGAAGGGAAGGAGGATGAAGAGGGGGAAGGGAGGGAGGAAGGGAAGGTGCAAGGGACGGACGAGGGAAAGGAGGACGAAACGGAGGAAAGGAAGGAGGACAAAAAGGAGGAAGGGAAGGATGATGAGGAGAGGGAGGAAGGGAAGGGGGAGGTAGGGGAGGGTAGAGAGGAGGTTGCAGCAAGGGGTGATGACAGGAATGATCCAGCAGAGGAGGTGGAGGAGGAGGGGGAAACGAAGCATGAGAATAATACTACTACTAGAGGTGAGGGAGCTAGTAATGAAGGGGAAGGAGGGGTTGATGTGGATCATGATGAGGAAGAAGACGGCAAATGAAGGGAAGAATGAAGTGTCAAGGGGTCGCCAGAAGGGGGTTGCAATGCGAGCTCGAGTTCCTAAGAATACAAGGAGAGGGTGAGGTGAGGAGGGAAACGGTGAGGAGAAGTGAGAGGAGATGGAGGAGGTAGAGGAGGTGGGAAGGTGAGGAGGTGGAGGCGGAGAGGAGGGGCCATGTTGAAGGGAATCGTGGTGCACATGAGGCTGAAGTGGAGGCAGCGAGTTGACTTCAGTGTCCACAGATGCAGCTACAAGGTCTCAGATCCAGACCTGGTTCAAGCCCAGGCCCTGTCCCTGTCACTATCCCAGGCACAGACCCACGCCCAGATGCAAATGCAGGGCTAGGTGCATATGCCAGCTCCGGTGACAATGCCGGCTTAGGTGCAAACGCAGGGCGAGGCTCTGCTGCTTGCATTCGAAAGCAAGTAAGAAAAGGGGGAGAGGATGAGAGGATGGCATGGGAAGTCAATGGCGCTGGTGAGAAGGGGTTATTATGGTATTTGGCAGGTGAGAGAGACGGATGGGCTAGGTGGAGTGCGGTGATTATTTGGCAGGGGTTTGGGGTGTGCGAGGGATGGGCGAGGAGGCGAATATGCATAGAATGTTGTTTCATAACGCACGGTGTCATCATTTATGCTTTTGTAAAATTTGGGCATTAAATTGCTGTGATGTGAAACTCCTGTTGGTGGGTAATGATAAAGCATGTTGTAAAGGTACCAGTCATAGTGTGAGGGCTGACAGCAATGCTCCTTTTTTGTCCCGTATTTTGTTGTGGAAAGAGAGGTGGAAACGGTTTGCGCTATAATTCTCTGAAATTGATTGCAACTTAATGGTAGTTTGTACGCAGGTTCAGCTTGGTATTGAAATGGTATTGCATTATTTTAGTTGTCCCAAGCACAACGTATGTGCGCTGCTTCAATTGGTGTACTGCAAGTCCAAAACATAAACGCTACACTGAGAAATGCAATACCCCTCTGCTTGCCCCCCAACACCCCAACCCACACCTCTCTCCAGCCAATCCCCTCGTTGCGCCTTATGTTTTCCCGCTAGTATTTTCCAGTTTTGTCATCCCCACCGCCGCCACCTCCGCAACCGCCGGAACCGCCGCAAACCGCGCGCGCCGCCACTGTGAATCAGGCCCGCATAAGCGTGGTCATGATGAGGGTTTCGGCGGGCCCTGCCGCTTCAGCATGCAGCCGTGACTGCGCTCCGCGCGTGCCACTGCGACCCGCGCTGCCCCCCTCCGCCCGCGCCTATGCTCTCGCGTCGCCTACCCATTTGCGCTGCGCCTCCGCCTGCGCTCCCCGTGGAATTGGCGCGACTTTCTCCTCCGGCGGAAGGTTTCCGCAGCAGCTGCAGGAACAGCAACAGTGCCGGAAACAGCCCGCCTCCGCTTCCCCGCAGGCCGGCTTGCGCTCCACTCCATCAGCCAAGCCCTTCGCGCCGGCGTGCGCAGATGTGATTTCCCCTGCCTCCGCTGCTTCCGCGGTCGCAAAGGCGTTCCGTGACGCGCGCTTCATTGCCGGCGCGGCCTCCCTCGCGGTAGTAGCGGCTGCGGCAGCGTCGGGAGCGGCGGGGCCGGCGGACGGGGACGCGGCGAAACCGGCGGCGGAGGTATTGCCTTCCATCTGAGACGTATAGATTTTCTGAGGCGTCTAAATAGATCGTGCTCCTTTGCTATGTGATGCACCGCATGCCCCGACGCTTCTTGCCTTGCCTGCTTGTTCCACTTTCTTTCCGTGGTTGTTGCTGCTCCCCGTCTTCCGCTCTTTCCCTGCTCTCTCTGATCTGCCTATCCCCGCAGCATGCTTGCTGCGCGCTTCTCGCTCATCTCATCCATCCCCGTGCGTGATTCTAACTCTGGCAGGCTCCTGCGACGGCGGCAGCTGCAGCGGATGAGTCCTCTGGCAGCTGGTGGGACAGGTGGAAGGTGAGTGAGTGGTTGGGTGCTGTGGTGTGGCGAGTGCATGAGGCAATCAGCAAGAGTGTGAGTGATTCGAGGAGTCAATTTTGAGAATTTTCAGTGGTATGGCGAGGGCAGGGAGTGGCGAGCGAGAGAGTGAGTGATTGTATGCTGTTTCAACATTTGTCACAAGATGGGATCGTTGCAAATGACAAGATCCTTGACGAAAGTGGTATGGCGAGGGCAGGGGGTGGTGAGCGAGAGAGTGAGAGAGTGAGTGATGGTATGCTGTTCCACCATACAGCGCAGGATGGGATTTTTGGAAATTAGGTGGCGAAGCTGGGTCTGGTCTTTGGAGCAGCACTCCCCTACCCCCTCCCTCCCCCCTTCCTCCCTCCTGCATCTCCTCTCCTTTCCCTCTCCCCCCTCCACTCTCCTTTCCCCACCCTCGCTCGCACACTGTATACTCTTCCTCCTGCCCCGTCACCTGCCTCCTGCGCCTGCCTGCCACCACGCTCAAAGCGCTGCAGGCGACTCAAAGCTCTTCCTCCTCCTGCCATTCCGTGCCCTGCCGTGCCCTGCCATGCCGTGGCATGCCATGTCACGTGTTGTGTGCCTGCCTGCCTGTGTGCGTGCAGGCGCGGTCGGCGGGACTCAAGGAGAAGGTGGCGAAGCTGGGGCTGGCGGCAGTGCTGGCGTACGGGCTGTTTGACGGCATCACCTACACCGCCTTCTTTGTGCTCGCCTTCCTCGGCTACGAAAAGAGCACCGGACTCAACCCCGCTGCCAACCTCAAAGCTCTCCTTGGGGTGCGTGGGTCCCTGCGTGATGTGATCAGATCAGAGTCTGTTGAAGAGTGTGTGCGTGTGTGTGGGTGTGCGTGTGTGTGTGTGTGTGTGTGTGTGGGTGTGCGTGTGCGTGTGTGTGTGTTTTGTTTCCTCGGTTGTTGTTGTTGTGGTGGTAGTAGTTGTGGTCTGTGTCCTTGTTTGTGTATGTTTGTTTGCCCCAGTATCTGAGCGTTGGGCTCGGTGCACTGGTTTCCTGTCCGTCTGCTGTCTGGGATTGGTTTTGTCACCTTATCCTTAATCATTTTTCCATTTCGTTTTCCTTTTCCCGTTTCATTGTATGCTTGATTTCCTTGCGTGTGCTCTGCAGATTGTGGTTCTGATGTGGACGGGGAATAATGTGACGCGGCCATTTCGAGTGGCAGGTGCTGCAGCCGTGGCTCCATTTCTTGACAAGGCGTTGAAGAAGTTCCAGGAGAAGCTCAACCTCCCCAACCAGTTCCTGGCTTTTGCTCTTGTTGCAGCTACCTTCGGAGCTATCTGCCTTTCTGTGGTTGGGCTTCTTATCCTTTCACGCATAGGGGGTTAGGTTTGGTAGAAAACAATAGATTCTATTACAGCTAGAGTTAAGCAGGCTTAGAGGGGTGGAAGTAATGGTGCACATCTCCATTCAGTCGTGCTCTGGGCGTTGAGAAGATTGTACCACTTCTTTTAACCAGTGAAGGCTATGCATCTTAGGTTTCAAATATCATATACCAATTGGACTACGAAGGCGACAATGATGCCGATCACTATACCGGAGCACATCTTCTCGACATATATTTTGCGACTCGGAATTCGGTATGGGGCCAAACCAGCCGCAGCTCCGACATGAAGACCGAACCACACTGTTCACACGTCAGGCTGTCGGTCACTGGCTTGGCCAGACCAGATCCTGCCACGTCACACGCCTTCCACGACCCATTCATGGCACACCGCGCCGCACCGACTTTGCATAGTTCAAAGTTAGATGCAACTCCCAGTAAGCACCGTACGTTATCGTACCCTAACGTTACAGCATGCTATGGAACGAACTATATACTATACAACTGATACAGCACAGCTAGGTTAAAAAATTGTAGCTCTGTTCGATAGCCTAGGTTCGGGAACGACAGGGCCTGTGCTGTCCTCGCCCAGCCACGACCACCAAACCACACCGAGAAAACGTACTTGTTTCGAATCCGGTTACCACGATAAAAGATCCAGAACATGCTCAATACCGTCTAGGAACCAACGGAAAAGTTCTGAACGATCGTTTAAAGCCCGCGTCCCAAATTGCGGGCCGCGAGGGTCAAGTTTTTAAAACTTGACGAAGTTGAGTGTCCAAGCTTTTGAAAGTCACGCACCTGCAATTTGGGACTTTCGAAGACAGATTCACTCACCAGGGGGAAAACCGAGGGTTGGCTGGGTCTCGCGAAAAAAACGAACCTAGACGAAATCGGAAACTCTCGCCAAAGCCCACACCAGAAAAACTCCCTCTGGTCAACTTTTAAAAGCATGAACAATTTGGGCCGCCGGCTTTAATATTCCTGGGTGGTGTACAACACCCCAGTCCAGCAAGGAACTGCTTGCGTCTAATATCAGCTCCAACAGCCATCCCGCCGTATCGCCTCCAGGTGAAGCCGTCCCCCTCAAGCCGTCGACGAAAATGAATGTATGATTTGATTTCCATCAGGCGCATCATCGACGGATATCACTATTATTATTGATTGCATCCAGCAAGAAGCACGCTAGCACCCTCAGACACCGAGCCTATCGTTATCATGTCCGCCTGAACAGTCGCCGGGACGCACATTTCCTGCCAGCCACACCTCCACAATCCTATAAGCCAGAGGCCCATCCCAAAAAGCTTCCAGGTTTTTTTCTCGTACCGTGTCATATTGTGTCCCGTCTAACTTTATCGCATCCATTCCCGCCGGTATGTCTGGGCGCGCCAATCGCGCCTCCGCGGATCCCCCCAAGATCCCCGAAAGCTTTCTCAAGGCGCTTCACCGCGGCGAAGCTCCGCCTTCCGCTGGTCCCGCCCCGCTCGCGGAAAGCGCAGGCGGGTCCGCGAAGCCGGGGGGAAGTGGCGGCGGAGCACTATCAAAGCAATCGACTCCAAAAAAAACTTCTCTCGAGCGCAAGCGTTCCGCCGCACGCGCGTCTTCCCCTGATACTTCCGCCGCATCCGCTGCGGCTCCGCCTTCCGCCCCCCTCGCCTCCGCCGCGGGAGGCGCAGGCGAAGCTAAAGGGTCGGGGGAAGAGGCGGCGGCGGCAGCAGCGGCGGCAGCAGCAGTAGAAAATACTGCAGAAGAGGTGACAGGAGTGGGTGGTGGTAGTAATGGTGCAGAGGAAGGGGCAAATACAAAAGGTGCTGTGAACGAAGTGACAGATGCAGCAGCAGCAGCAGCAGCAGCAGCAACAACAGCAGCGGCGGCAGCAGGGGCAGCAGGGGTTCCAGAAGCAAGTGGTGGTGGAGTGGAGGCTTCAGGTGTTGCTGCAGAGACAGCAGCAGAAGGAGCAGCAGATTCGGCAGCCGGAACAGGAGCTGCATCCGAAGGCACAGGAGCAGCAGCAGGAGCAGCAGGGGCAGCAGCAGGGGCAGCAACAGGGGCAGCAGCAGCAGCAGCAGCAGGAGCAGCAGCAGGGGCAGAAGCAGGAGCAGCAGCGCCAGCAGCAGCAGAGGCTGCTCCGACGCCATCTCAACGACAACCAGCGGTACCACCCCCCGCAAAGGCAAGCAGCACACGTTCTGCCAATGCAGCATCTGCAGCAACAGCCACAGCAGCAGCGACAGCAGCAGCGACAGCAGCAGCGACAGCAGCAGCGACAGCAGCAGCGACAGCAGGGGCGATAGGCATTGCTGCGAGCAGCAGTATCAGTAACAGCGGCAGGGGTGGTGCCGGTGCCAGTGCCAGTGCCAATGCCAATGCAAGTGGCAGCGATGCTGGCAACAACGGCATGGTATCAGGGCGCAGCAGCGGCAAGGAGGCTCTAGTGAATATCCACGAGCCGTTCCTGGCGCCCGCTCGCCCCAAGAGGAAAGGCCTCACCTGCCGCAAGGTGCTCTTCATTCTCTGCGGCCTCTTTGCCCTCGCCATCCTAGCTGGTCTCGTCGTGGGGATTCTGGTCAAAACAGGCGTCATGAGCACTGGTGGCAGCGGCGACAGCAGCAACAGTGGCAGCAACAACACCAGCAGCAGCAGCAGTGGCAGTGGTGGTGGCGATGGCAGCAGTGGTGGCAGCGGTGGTGGTGATGTGTCGGTTATGACGGCGTCGGGTATTGAACCCGGGGCTCTGCTGGGCGGAGTGTGTGACTCGTCGCAGCCGCCTGTCATCCCCCCTGGTGCTGCCACGATGCCTTCCGTGTGGTGGACGACTAGCCTGCGCAACAACAGCAAGGTGTGTGCTTGCTTGCTTGCTTTCTTGCTTGCTTGCTTTCTTGCTTGCTTGCTTTCTTGCTTGCTTTCTTGCTTGCTTTCTTGCTTGCTTTCTTGCTTGCTTGCTCATCTGTCACCTCTGGTCTGGGTCTCTCTTTGTCACCTCTTTCACCTGTTTCCTCTCGTTGTCTTTGTTCTGTGTCTCTTTTCTTTGAGTCTCTTCGCTCTGGGTGCTGTCTTCTCCGCGTCTTCATCCACTGTACTGTGGTGGGAGAACGGCAAGACTAATAGGATGGATGGGCATAATATGGCAGGTTGTGGACAGGACATGAGAGATAGAGAGCAAAAACTCCAAGTACTCTCCTTGCCCCCGTCTTTGTTTCTCACATTTCCCCTTTGCTTGCCCATCTCCGCATCTCCCCATCTCCCCATGTCCCATCTCCCATCTCCTCATCGCCTCTCTCTCCCCCCCTGCTTCCCCCCACAGGTCATGCTCTACTCCCAGGGAGCCAACTGCTGGATGACACCACTTACGAGGCGCCTTAAAACTCCTCATCTCCGCATCTCTCTCCCTCCTCTCTCTCCCCTCGCTCTCCCCCACAGGTCATGCTCTTCTCCCAGGGAGCTAACCGCTGGATAGCACCACCCACTGCCACCGCACCCTCCCCCCCTCCCTCCCGCCCCTCCTCCTCCCCCGCTCTTGACTGGTCCAAGCCATGGGCAGCAGGACTCACTACCTCCCTGCCTCTCAACCAGTCTCTCACCATTGTTTTCACGTCCTCCTCTTCCGCCTCCTCCGCCTCTGCCCCCTCCTCCCCTTCCTCTGCCTCTCCCGCCTTTGCACTGCAAGCGCCCTCCGGTCTCTTTCTCGCACCGTCCTCGCCCACCCCTCGAGCCACGTTCGCTGCCACTGCTGGTTCCATTGGGGACGCAGCTGCCTTTGTTGCCGAGCCTGCTCCTGTGAGCCTTTCGTGCCTCTGCTTTGTATTCGTCTTGCTTCTTCTTCAAGTGACAGCCTCTTGTTGTTTTTCTTTTGGGCGTGGGGGGGAAGATGGTTACTACTATTATTGGTATTATGCACATGGTGATAACAGTAATAATGCGACTCCCTGTCATAACATGCCCACTTCTTCATCGCCCCACGAAGTCACCCATTCAACTCCACCACCTTCTGACTGTCTCCATATAGTCTTTGGTTGCCCTATACGAGTTATTCATCTGTTCTTTTGTTCACTCTGATGCTGTCATTTAACTGTCCCCCAGTAAATTTCTATAATCTATCCCCAACCCCGCAACCCCGTTCAATCTCCCCCAGGGCGACCCTTCCTCCCTCCTCATCCGCCTCGCATCCCCTCCCGCCTCCTACCTCACCGTCTCCGCCCCTCCCGCGTCCCTCCTCGCGCTCCATCCCCCGGGCTCCCTCCCTGCGCGCCCCGCATACTTCCGCGTGCGGGAGGGCATGGAGGTGGCAGCAGCGCGCGGCGTGAACCTGGGCGGGTGGCTGGTGGCGGAGGAGTGGATGGAGCCGGGGCTGTTTGAGGGGGTTCCGGACGTGGTGGACGGGGTGCTCGTGCAACTGCAGGCGCAGCAGTCGGGGCGATACGTGTCGCTGTGGGACTCTGCCACTGGCGAGGTGCGTTGCTTTGGGATGCTTGGGATGCTTGGGGTGCTTTGGGGTGTTTTGGGATGCTGCCACTGGCTTTGACTTTTGAGTCGACTCAAAAGTCACGGTGAGGGCATGGGCGTGAACCTGGGGGGGTGGATGGTGGCGGAGGAGTGGATGGAGCCGGGGCTGTTTGAAGGGGTTCCGGAGGTCGTGGATGGGGTGCTCGTGCAGCTGCAGGCGCAGCAGTCGGGGCGATACGTGTCGCTGTGGGATGCCGCCACTGGGGAGGTGCGTTGCTGCTTGGGGATGTGATGTTGCAATGCCATGGCCAGTTTGGGTTTGAGTCGTTGGCTGTGTGGCTTGTTCGCTGTCTGTCTGGCTGGCTGGCCTGTTTGACCTGTTTCATCTGTTTTATCTATTTGATCTGTTCCCTATTCCCCCCTCCCATCCCAACTATACCCTCCCGCCCGCACAGGCGAGAGCATCAGCCACCTCCCTATCCATCCTCAGCTGAGACCTCCTTCTGATTACTCTAGACAATGGCATTCCCTGTCTTCTTCTTTCTTTTCTCCCCCCCATCCCCCAACCATTCCCTCCCTTCCTTCCTCGCCCGCACAGGTCAGAGCATCAGCCACCTCGCCATCCTCAGCTGAGACCTTCTTCCTTCGCCTCGCACCCGGCCCCTCCTCCTCCCCTCCCCTCTCCCTCTCCTCCCCCTCCTCCTCGCCCTCCAACGTCTCTCTCTACATCCGTGCCGCCAACGGCCGCTTCCTCTCCATTCCCTCCACTTCTCCCGCCTCTCGCTCCACCTCTCGTTCCTCTGCCTCCGCTGCTGCTCCACCTAGCTCTGTGCTTGTTGCTAAGGCGGTCTATCCTGGCCCTCCCGGGCCTGGAGAACAGCCGGGGAGCGGCAGTGGCGGCGGCAGTGGCAGCAGTGGCAACGCTGGCAGCAGCGACAGCGGGTGGACGTCGTTTGTTGTTGTGTTCGCCCCTCGAAGCAACACCACTGCTGTCATCGCCGTCAACAAAACCAGCACTAGCGGCACCGGCAGCACCAGCAGCAGTAACAGCAGCAGCAGCAGCAACACCACCACCACCAGCACGCTCTACCTCCTGCGAGTCCTCCCCAACGCCTCTCTCGTGGCAGACACACCCATCCCCGTCTCGCAGCTCTCCTCCCCGGCCTCCCCTCTCTGGTCCCCCTCCTCCTCCTCCTGCCCCTCCTGCCTCTTCTCCTTCCTCCCCCAGGACCGCCGGCGAGGCGAGTGGCAGCTATCCCAAGGCCTCAGAGCCACCCAAGGGGACGAGGAGGCGGAGAGGCGGGTGAAGGAGCATAGAGAGGGGTTTGTGAGGGAGGAGGATTTGGCGTATTTGTCAAGGCAGGGGGTGAATACGGTGCGGGTGCCTGTGGGGTACTGGACTGTGTATGGGGAGGGCGTGGGGGAGAGCGGCGGCACGCCGTTCGTTGGAGGGGGTCTGGCGAAGGTGGATCAACTCTTCGACTGGGCAGGTGGGTGGGTGGGTGGGTGGGAGTTTTGAGGCGCTTTTGAAGGCTGATTATTTGTTTTGGGTTTTACTGTTCGGCTTTTGAGTCAACTCATCAAAAGCAGACTGTTTGACTGGGGAGGTGGGGATGGGTGTGAAAGGGGAGGAGGAGGAGGGGGAACTGGGAGGATGCATGGTGGGGAAAAGTGAGAAAAGGAGGGGGAGAAGGGGGAAAGGGGGGAAAGGAAGGGGGGAAGGGGGAAGGGGGAAAGGGAGGGGACGAAGGGGGGAATGGGGGCTGACTGACTGACGATGCTGCTCAGCTGACTTTTGCACCGATGCAGCTGCATTGTTGTGACTTTTGCGTCACAACGATGCTGGATCAGCTGTTAGATTCAGCAGGAGGGAGAGGTGGGAGAGGGGGGTTGGGGTGCGGAGGGTGGTTGAGGAGATGGGTGGTTGGGGAAAGAGGGGGAGGGGAAGGGGAGAATGGGAAAGGTTTGGAAGGGAGGGGGGGGGAATGCTGCTTTTGAGGTGCCTCAAATGACTTCTGAGGCGCCTCAAAATGAGAACACACTGGATCACAGTGGGCCGATGTTGCTCCCTGTCCCCCCTCTCCCCTCCAACCCCCCCCCCACCCCCCCTACGCCCTCTCGTCTACAGAGAAGCACGGAGTGAGGGTGCTCTTTTCCCTGCACGGGGCACATGGGTCGCAGAACGGGTACGATCACAGCGGCAGTCAGGACGGCTTTGGGGAGTTTGGCCGCGCCGACTCTGCATACCACGTCACTGCCACGCTCAACACCATCCAGCTGCTCGCCAAGCGGTGCGTGCGTGCGTGCGTGCGTGTGTGTGTGTGTGTGTGTGTGTGTGTGTGTGTGTGTGCGTGCGTGCGTGCGTGCGTGCGTGCGTGCGTGCGTGCGTGCGTGCGTGCGCGTGCGCGTGCGTGTGCGTGTGCGTGTGCGTGTGCGTGTGCGTGTGTGTGTGTGTGTGTGTGTGTGTGTGTGTGTGTGTGTGTGTGTGTGTGTGTGTGTATGCTTCCCAGCCTCTGTTGCTTAGATTGTGCTGCCTGGAGTGTATGTTGCTTAAGTTTGTGCTCTTGGGTGCAGGAACAGCTATGCGATATCATTTTCCGAAACACGCTGTGCATGCCTTCTCAAGCAGTGCATGCCTTCTCAAGCAGTGCATGCCTTCTCAAGCAGTGCATGCCTTCTCAAGCAGTGCATGCCTTCGTAATGCATCCACCCACTCCTTCTCTGTCCCCTTCCTTCCTCCATCTTCTGACCTCTCTCTCTGCTCTTCTCTCCCCTCCTATCTCCCCTACTTCTCTCCCCATCCTGTCGACCGATGCCTTCCTGGGCATGGGCGTGCTCAACGAGCCCACCAGCAACTGGGTGAACAAACCCGCCCTCTCTTTCTTCCTCCCCCCCATTCCCTCTACCTCTCCCCAATCTTTTCATGAAACCAGCTATGCCGCCCGCCCTGCCTTTCTGGGCATGGGCGTGCTCAACGAGCCCACCAGCAACTGGGTGAACTCGCAGGCCCTCTCCTCCTTCTACCGCCGTGCTTACACCGCCGTGCGCGCTGCCTCTCCCTGCGCCTATGTGGGCCTCTCCACCTACGCTGACACAGACAGGTGTGTGCTGTGTGGTGTGTGGTGTTTGACCCACGTGGTGTTTGACCCACGTGGTGTGCATGATGCAACTTCAAACGTCATAGACAGGAGGTGTGTCTACTCCAGCCCATGACACGTGAGTCGAATTCACAAGTCGCCTCGCCCTGTGCTATGCCTGTTCTGTTCTGTGTGGGTCCCATCCTCATGCTTCCTCCTCCCTCCTCCCTCCTCCCTCCTCCCTCCTCCCTCCTCCCTCCTCCCTCCTCCCTCCTCCCTCCTCCCTCCTCCCTCCTCCTCCCTCCATGCCTCCAGCCCGTTTCTGAAGGGGCTGATGACGGGCGACGAGCACACGAACGTGCTGGTGGACCTGCACATCTACAGCGTGCATGCGGAGAAGCTCAGGCAGATGTCCCTCCAGCAGAACCTCCAGTTCCTCACACTCAACGTGAGTGCCGTGCCATGGGAGCAGGGGGTGGCATGGGGATGGCATGGGGGTGGCATGGGGATGGCATGGGGGTGCATGGGGATGGCATGGGGGTGGCATGGGGATGGCATGGGGGTGCATGGGGATGGCATGAGGGTGGCATGGGGATGGCATGGGGGTGGCATGGGGATGGCATGGGGATAGCATGGGGGTGGCATGGGGATGGCATGGGGGTGGCATGGGGAGACTTGCACGTGGCATGGTGATGGTATGGGAGGAACCGACAGTCTCTGCTTTGGGAATTCGCCATGCTCTATATGGCCGGCCTATTCTGTAGTTGACTCATAGGATGCTGACATGACATGACATGACATGATGACATGACATGACATGACATGATGACATGACATGACATGACACGACATGACATGACATGCTATGGCATGAGATGACATGTTGTCAGTGCAGGAACAGAGAGCCCTGCCTTTGGGGCACTTGTCTTCCTTTGGGCAGACTGTGGCATGGCGTTGGAGGGAGGGAAAGGGCGGACCATCATACGCCAGTCGTGCTCCTCCCTCCTCCTCCTCCTCCTCCTCCTCCTCCTCCTCCTCCTCCTCCTCCTCCTCCTCCTCCTCCTCCTCCTCCTCCTCCTCCTCCTCCTCCTCCTCCTCCTCCTCCTCCCCCACTTTTCATTGCCCCAACTGTCTCGCTCTGTCCTCTCCGGCCCCTGCCCCCCATCCCATCCCCTCTACTGCCCATCTCCCTCCCTGTGGCAGAGGTCAGCGGAGATAAGTCAGGCAGTATCAGGAGGGCAATCGGCTGGCCATGGTGGGGGAGTGGTCTCTTGCACCACCAACAGAGAAGTGTGTTTAGAGTCGACTCAAAACACAACCCATCCCCTCTACCGCCCATCCCCCTCCCCGTCCCCACATGGCAGAGGTCAGCGGAGATAAGGCAGTACCAGGAGGGCAATCGGATGGCCATGGTGGGCGAGTGGTCACTCGCTCTACCAACCGACAACGACTCCGATGTAAGTCTCCCAGGATTATGAGGCGACAACAACAAAAGCTTTGGGAAGAGGGCCGACTTGTGAGGCGCCTCAATCCACTGGCCGTCGTGGGGAGTGGTCGCTCGCTCTACCAACCAACCACAACTCTGATTTCGGCCTCAGGTTTTTTCCCCCTTCCCTAGCCATTGCCCACGTGGATTGGCCTGGAATCATTGGAAGAGGAGCGCTGCACCCTTCTCCCTTCTTCGTGTTCTGCACTTCCTCCATTCCCCTCCTACTTCCCCTGCCCCCATTTCCCTCTTTTCTCCTTTACCTCTTCCCCCCTCATCCCTCCCCCTTTTGCTGCCTTTCCCGTCCTCCCACCCCATTCCTCATCCCTCTCCTACCAACCTCACACCCACCATCAGGATGACGTCAAGAAGTTCACTGAAACGCAGCGGGAGGTGTTTGGGCAGGCCAAGGGCGGGTGGTACTTCTGGTCGCTCAAGCTCAACCGCACCAACGACTACCCCAACTGGAGCTTCCGCTCCAGCGTTGCAGCGGGCTGGCTGAAAAATGCCTCCAGTGGTTCTGGCGTGTGGTGAGGTGGTGCTGCAGCTGGTGGTAGTGGTGGTGACTCGTAAGCGAATGTGCTGTTGCAACAGTTGGAGTTTAGTGGCGCCTCAAAAGGCGTCTTCTACCCCAGCCGGAGCTCCCGCTAAAAGCATGGGAGTAGGCTGGCTGTAAAGAATGCCTCTAGTGGTGAAGGTGTGCGCCCCTCGAGGACGTGATGCTCGGGCGAAAGGTTGGGGATGAGGACGGTTTGGCTTTGCTTCCCACTTTTACCGGTACTGGTACCGAGCCTGGCTGGTGTTGGAGGAAGAGTGATGATGCAAAGGAGCATGAGCGTGGCGTTTGCCATAGGGAACAGCAGCACGGACGGCCGTTTGCTGTGTTTAAGATTGAAATGGTGTGCATATTTGTGCATTTATTTACTGTATAGACCTGTCATTGTAGTAACTGTACATTTAGCAAGTTAGTAAATTTGTCATACCAGTCAGCAGCTAACATTCTAGTCAGCACTCTGCACATGCACTAGTACGGTAAACCAGCAACACCAGGTCCTTACCTTATGCAACTCTGTCAAAGGAAAATTAAATACCAGGTCCTCTTGCTAGCTACTCTGGCCAAGGAGAATCACAGCAGAAAGGGCCACACACACACACTCCCTTCTCATGCCTTCCCCACAGAAACTCCTACCGTACGTACTACCATGTAGCTGCAGGTATTGGGCAGCAGGGTATATCTCCTGCTATATAAACAGCCGAATTGTATTCGTCTCTTTTCTGGCTTCAATTCAATTTACGTCCACATTGCCATTTCCTCTGCCTGGACGCAACCTATAATATGGGGCACGAGCAGCTCCAGGCCAGGCTCACTTCCCGTTTGCCTATATAAGGGTTCGGAAATTCAGCGAGACGCGGAGGCTTGGGGGGTGTAGTCCGTGTCCTTCTCACCCTGGTACACTGCTGACATGGATGTGGGGACCACAAACTGTAAGGGGAGAGAGGAGGGGGGGGGGAGGGGGGGAGCGGATCGAAGAGAAATGAAGGGAAGGGCAGGCAAGAAATGAGACGAGTCATGGGAGTGAGAAATAAGATTTGAACCAGGCGAAGTGGGATGAAAATGGTGCCTGATGGGAAGAGACTGAAAGGGATGACATGACAACGACCCCAACAGCCTCCTCGACAGCAGGTACCGTATATGGGAATATCAAGGAAAGAGAGCAACGGACAAGATACTGGCAGTAGTTTCGACCGCTTGGATACATTATGTGGAGAACGAAGGCAGTGAGCAAACCTGCGCCTTCTTGGAGCTGACAGCGCCAGTTGGCATGTTGTGCAAGCGTGGATACGGGATGCCATAATGCACCGCCATCTGCCGACGAGCCTCGCCCTCCTCCAACTGATGTTACTCCTTGCCGTGTGTGTACCATGGGTGAAAACATTTACATTACGAATAAGCATATGATGTGCGGGTTAGGTTAAGCCGAACGAAAGCCTAGCGGCACAGAGCATGCATACGGCATGCTCTGAACAGGCAGAGGAAGGACCAACACGGACCATTATAAGATTAACTACAGGCAGCAACATTCAACTTGCAAGAATTCAACCATGTTCAACAAAAAAGGGCACCGGCTAATGCACCAAATTATTAGACCTTGACTGAACTCTCACCAGTTCCCGGATGCGCTCCTTATCCTGGACGTCTCTGTTGCTCTCAAACGCTCGCCGACTCTCCTCCTAAACAGGCAGCACGGGATGCTTGCAACAGGAATTGTGGCAAGGCAAGAGGCATTTAGACGAAGCAGAAGGGTCACACAAACGTCTCGCCGAAACGATCAGATTTAGGGCTCGGAACAATTTTTGTTGAGAAACTCGACCGCGCTAGACCATGGCGCCATGCCGCACCTTGATATACGTCCGCTCTTCTGCAGAGCCGTGCCAGCTCCTCGCAGTGCGTAGGAGCCGACGGTAAAGGCCAATTGACTGGCGAGTGAGGCTCATCGTGTGAGCTCGCAGGACGAGCGCCGATCTACTGGATTAGCGTCAGCGGAATTATTCGGTCAAGGCGAGGCACGCCACACCGATAATGGGCTGCACTCCGGCCTCTCCGCTCGATAAAGGTTGCGTAAGAGCGAAGGCGAGTGAACGAAGTGACAAAACCGATTGGGAATATAGAAACCCACTTACACTGATTCGTATAAAACGGTAGCTAAATGTATTCACAACATTAGTTTAGTGGTTGGGAACACACATTTGGTGAACCATATTGTTTTGTGTACACATCCTCAGCCCACTTGCATCTCTGCATGCAAACTCTCTGATGCGTTTCCAAGTTACCAGCGACCTCGACATAGCCACATCTTGATTCCAGATGGATGCCCCATGATGTACAATGTGCACGAGGACACGACATCGTATTACCGGTAGAGATGAACATAAACTGCATTAATTTCAGTCTAGTAAATGTTAGATAATAAAGCAGGAAAATACAAAAGGAAACAAATAAAAAGGTCCCACAGAACGCTTATGCCCGCTCGCCGCGAATACGCCTGGCGAGCTGAATATCCTTGGGCATGATTGTGACACGCTTCGCGTGGATGGCGCACAGGTTGGTATCTTCGAACAGACCGACCAAGTAAGCCTCTGCAGCCTCCTGCAGAGCCATCACAGCGGAACTCTGAAACCTCAGGTCTGTCTTGAAGTCCTGAGCAATTTCACGCACTAGCCGCTGGAAGGGGAGCTTGCGAATCAAAAGCTCCGTCGACTTCTGGTACTTGCGGATCTCACGAAGCGCCACGGTTCCGGGACGGTAGCGGTGAGGTTTCTTCACGCCGCCGGTAGCGGGAGCTGACTTCCTGGCGGCCTTGGTGGCGAGCTGCTTGCGAGGAGCCTTGCCTCCTGTTGACTTACGAGCAGTTTGCTTAGTACGAGCCATTCTGAAGAGCGTCAAATGAACGTTGAAGTACAGTGGAGGTAGTACCGCGAGCTGGAGACGAAGGATATGAAAGCTAATCAGTGAGCAATAGAGAAAATGGTGAATGGAGAAAAGTGGAGCACACCAACAGTTTTGAAGAGAAATGACTCGGAGGCAAGGTGGGAAAGAAGATGGGTGTTTGGTTGGGTTGGGTTGGGGTCCGGCCCCTTGAGGGGTCCTTGCGGAATTGCTTGCTTCGGAATCGACGCGGTGCGGTTTGAAAGATCGAAGTGCAAAAGCTTGGCATCGAAGAATCAATCGAAACCGTCAAAACGAATGGCATCGCGCGCTGCACGCAATCTGAAATGTAATTGGCTTATTTTCTCTGTCTGGATCGTCAACAATGTCTACTCCTCGTTGCGGACAACCACACCCACCACCAGCCCAAACAAAGGATCCGTACAAGACGAGTTTCGATTCGGGAAAGAGAATGAAAGAAAAATGAACGAGCAATATTTATGTATGAGGAATATATCGTATTATTTTTTTCTATAAAAGAACGTACACCACACAATTCAGTTTCTTACCTTTTTACACAAACATGCTAGAAAATATTTAATAATAATAAAGATAACGTGCAGTATCGCATTTAGAAAATGTGTTTTCCACCAGACTTTGTTGGAAATACAAAACCTTATTGCAGAGCATTTGTGTTAATTGCAAGCGAGTGCTGGCTGCACGATTCTGTTATGCTTCGTGCTTTATCCAACTTTTGTCTTGTGAAACAGCTTCCTGCATTCTTCAGCTAGTCCTGAAGCCATAGCCTACCTAAAAACTGCACAACAGCACCTTTGTTGAGAAAATTGAGGTGCTTGAGCAAGGTGCTGTGAGTCACACTGAACATGGCTCAGGTTCAGCAGCTTCATGCCCAGAGCCATTGTACGGTTCTCACTATTGGGCTTTCCTTTCGAAAACAATGGAGCCAGCAAACGGCCCATGGAAGATTCTAACACGCATCCACGTTATATAGTAGTAATCCACGGTTTAACGCAAATATTCGATTATACTGTTAATTATGACGTACCAATTAGTCAGTGTTAAGCAACTACATACATAAAGCAAAAGCCTCAACTTGAGCTCTAGTCTGATCCTAGTCTGAAACCTATGTTAGAGCGGATGTTGTTCTACAGGCCTATGCACGCTCGCCACGGATGCGTCTTGCAAGCTGAATATCTTTGGGCATAATGGTGACACGCTTCGCATGGATGGCGCACAAGTTGGTGTCTTCGAACAGACCGACCAGGTAAGCCTCAGCAGCCTCCTGGAGAGCCATAACCGCAGAGCTCTGAAACCGCAGGTCCGTCTTGAAATCCTGGGCAATTTCACGCACGAGACGCTGGAATGGGAGCTTGCGAATGAGCAGCTCAGTAGACTTTTGGTACTTGCGAATCTCACGAAGAGCCACTGTACCCGGACGATATCTGTGAGGCTTCTTCACGCCACCAGTAGCGGGAGCTGACTTCCTGGCAGCCTTGGTGGCGAGCTGCTTGCGAGGAGCCTTCCCTCCTGTAGACTTGCGTGCAGTCTGCTTAGTGCGGGCCATGGCTACTTAAGGATGAAGAAGACGGGATGCGAAGTCTGAGCCACAAAGAGTGGAAAGTGAACACAATGAAGACTGAAGAGTGGAGAATGGAGTTGTAGATGTTGGCCTTTTGTATCCAAACGGTGAACTGGTCGGGAGGAGACAGATGTTCAGCTGGAGTGCGAAAATGTTGGCGGCTTGGCTCTTCTCGCGATCGGGAACATCCAAGTCTAAGGAACTTCCGCAATCAAGCATTCAATCGGTGCCGTCGATAACAGTCGGCATCGCGCAACTCCCGCCAGATGCATCAGCTGATTGGGTCTCGATCTGTACGCGGATCGCAGCTCGTTTGGGCATTCTGGAATCGAACCTGAATCAGGAGAACACTTGGAATGACAAATAGCAATTGATAAAGGAAAAAATATAATTCGCATGTATATTCACTTCACCACACCAAGACAAACTAATGTCAGATATAAAAACGGCTGACATGATGCAAATGGATTAGAGCACAAGCAAACAAAGAACCTGCAGGAGTAAATACACCAATCTCATACAAAATAACAGTGCCCCTAGTCTGTGCCAAAACAACCTCACCAAATTATCAGAAAACCAGCACTACAAATGCCCAATTGATCCTAGGGAAGGGTTACAGGCTCGCTGGCCTGGAGGGTTATGGGCCCACTGACCCACTACTTACGATCCCCTTTTATCCCAATGGTTTAGTGACTGGTATTCTGACACAAACCCACACTTCATTCCATTTAATCCCTCGAAATCCTAATCCTCACTCCACCTTCACGCTCCACGGGTGCTCCACAAGCCCATACTGAATATCCATCAGCGCGCGGTGCACGCGAGCCGCCACACTGAGTGGCTCCCAATCCTCAGGCTTGTTCCACACCTGTCCGGGCTTCTTGCTGGTCCAGTGCGCCAGCGTGGCGTCTTCCACGGGCGTGGAAAGCTCCGTGCCGTCGGGAAGGACTAGGGCGGACACGGGCTGTACCACCACGGCTGTGCCCGTGCCAAAGATCTCCAGCAGCCGCCCTTCTTTGTGCGCTTGCCGGATCTGGTTGGGGAGAAAGGGGTTGGGTTGGGTTGGTTGTGTTGGCAGGTTGGAGGTTAGAGTGAGACGAGACGGTACAGGTAGGAGAAGAGTGCGTAAGAGAGGACACGTCTGGTGGTGGTGGCTTATCTCTGCTGCAACGGATGTGCTGACCAAACAATTTTCTGCTACATGGTGGGAGAGGAGTTGAGGGGGAGAGGGGGAGAGACCCAAAGAGAAGTGTGTTTGTGTGTGCACATAGGCAAGGCACGGGCATCCAAGCACACCCGTCACTTCCTTCGCTCGCACCTCCTTGAGTCGGATCGGCCGTTCAGAGACGTCCATATCGCCCCATGCGCGTGCGAGCTGCAGCACCGAGTCTCGAGTCACACCCGGCAGGATCATGCCGTCCAGACTCGGAGTCACCAGCTCCACTCCACTCGTGCCGTGCTTCGCCCCTCCCTCCTTGCGCACCACAAAGAACACATTCATCGACCCCGACTCGCCAATCAACCCATCCTCCTCCCCGTCCTCTGCCCCTGCTACTCCTCCCCCTGCTCCTGCTTCCGCTCCTGCGCCCTCCGCAACCTCTCGATCCTTCAGCACATACAGCACCTGGGAGCACCCCTTGTGCGCAGCCTGCACCTGCGGCAGGATCGTCGGCGCGTAGTTCCCAGCCACCTTCTTATCCCCCACGCCCCCCGGGAACGCGCGCGCATGCTCCTGGTCCACGAGCAGGCGGATGGGCTTGAGACCGGAGGGAAAGTAGGGCCCCACGGGGGAGAGAAGCACGTAGAGGAGCACGTCTGTGGGGGGCCCGACGCCCAGGAAGGGCGTGGTGGCGATGACGGTGGGGCGGATGTAGGCTGCGAAGCCGTGCGCTGCTGGGATGTAGTGCTCGTCCACCTTGAGCAGGGCTTTGATGCACTCTAGGAGCTCCACCTGGGGGAGGTTGTAGGGGGGGATGGGGCAGCATGGGGGGATTGGGAGATGGGCGGGACGGGGTGAAATTCAGGGCATTAGATGGAGGCTGGGATGTAGTGCTGGCCCACCTTGAGCTTGAGCAGCGCTTTGATGCACTCTAGCAGCTCCACTCCACCTGGGGGAAGTGGGGGGATGGGGGAAGGAGGGAGGGAATGGTGGGACGGGTGGGTGGGGGGGAGGAAGGGGGAACAGACAGGGCACCGGATGGAGGGGATGAAGTGCTCTTCTCGACTTTAAGCAGGGTTGGTTAGAAAGGAGAAATAACGGAACGAGAAAATGGAGGGAGTAGAAGGGGCGGCGGAGCCGGGTGGGGAGAAGGGTGCGAGGGTTGGGAGTTTGCGGGGGAAAGGGAGGGAGAGGGAGAGGGATAAGGGGTGCGGTGCGCTCACGGTGTTGAAAGCGGGGAGGTTGAGGCGGTGGCAGGAGGAGGCGAGGCGGTCCATGTTCTTGTCGGGGCGGAAGAGACGGATGATGCCGCTGCCTGACTTGAACGCCTTCATGCCCTCAAAGCACCCCATGCCGTAGTGCAGCACCTGAAAGACAAGTGCGGGTTGCATGGGCGGTTGGATAGGTGGTTGGTTGGTGGGCGAGTGGGTGGAGTGCACAAGGGAGGGGAGGGGAGGAAAGACTTGATGCCCTCAAAGCACCCCATGCTGTAGTGCAGCACCTGAAAGACATGTGTGGGGTGCGTGGAGAGTGGGTGCAGAGCGGGGCACAAGGGAGGGGAGGAAAGACTTGATGCCCTCAAAGCATCCCATGCTGTAGTGCAGCACCTGCGCACATGCGCGTGGGGTGGGTGCCGTGTGTGTGGTGGGTGGTGCAGTGCAGAGAGAGCGGTGCGGTGCAGAGAGGGTGTGTCATGCTGAGAAAAGGTGGCCTTGAGGGATGTCGCTGTAGTGCATTGAGGGCCTGAGGGCACTCAATGTCGTGATGAGAAAAAGAAACATTGAGGAGTGCTGTCAAGTCACGTCAACCCAGCCCCCTCCCCTTTCCCCCCCTCCCCCACCTACCCCTGCCCCTCCCCATCTCCTTCACCCGCTTGAGACAACTTGGCCGCATCATCACAACCGCATTCCACTCTTTTCATCCCACTGCCGCCACAAAGCGCACATTTCGCACAATCGCACGCATGCATGCACGCACCCCTACCCAAAGGCACGCACGCACGCACCTGAGCGGCAGGGTGCAGCGGCAGCGGCGCAACGGGCTTGATGACAGGGCTGGACCAGCCGTGCTGGCGGCGCCACGGCACCAGCAGCATGTGCTCCGAGAACTGCGACCCAAACTTGAGCGCTCGCAGACTCAGTGGCTCCTGCACGCGGGGGAAAGGGAGGCGAAGGGTTTAGTTAGACAAGGGGAAGACCGGGTGGGACCAGGACTGGAGATGGGGGAAGGGGTGTGGCACCAGCAGCATGTGCTCTGATAACTGCGACCCGAACTTGAGCGCGCGCAGACTCAGTGGCTCCTGTTCCAGGAGGGGCGGAGGGGTTGGGGGGGAGTGGGAGAGGGAGAGAAGCGGGAATGGAGATGGGGAAAGGGGTGAGGCACCAGCAGCATGTGCTCTGGAGAAATGCGGCCCAAACTTGAGTGCGCGGAAACTCAGTGACTCCTACACGGATGAGAGGGGGTGGATTGAGCGTGGGAAGGGGGTGGGGAGGGGTGGGAGAGATTCTGGGCAAAAAGTGGGAGGAGGAGAGAGGCAGGTATGCAAGTTTAACACCACTCAGTGCACAGCACCGCTCAGCACCTCTCACCCAGTCCTTGCGCGCACCTTGGGTCTGGTGGACTCCTGAATCACCAGATCCGCCACGCTAAAGTCCTTCTCCGCCGTTACGATACTTTTGAGGCGCCTCAAAAGTAGCCGCACAGCACAGCACAGCACAGCACCTCTCTGTGTCTCAGCTCTCACCCATTCCAGTCCTTGTGTGCGCACCTTGGGTCTGGTGGATTCCTGAATCACCAGATCCGCCGCGCTAAAGTCCTTCTCCGCCACCGCGCTCTCCCCCGCGCCTGTCACACCCCCCTCCGCTCCGCGCGCACCGCCGCCCGCGCCGCCGCTGCTGCTGCTGCTGCTGCTGAAAGTGCGGTGCGGTTCGACGCATGACGCAAGGCGCGACGGGACGAAGGGGAAACCAGCGGGAGACGCGGAAGCAGCGCAATGAGCGGAAGAGGAGCCGGTTGCGGGCGCGGGGGAGGCGGCGGCGGCGGGGGACGTCGGGGAGGGGGATGAGGGGCGCAAGAGTGGCGGAGCAGCGGCGGAAGAGAATGGCGCGGCGGAGAGCAAGTGGCGGAGATTGCGCTGCTGGCGGCACGCGGCGGCTGCTGATAGCAGCGCAGTGCGACTCGTCATTGGCTCCGCTTGTTCCGCGTCGGTGTTGACCCGACTCTACTCGACTTGACTCGCTCAGACTCGACTCGATTCAGACCCGACTCGTAGTCGAATTAACTGCTCTAAAATCGCTTCACACAAAAGGCAGCAACGATAGGACTAGTATCCCGCAACTCCCGTGCGTGAGAGCAGCAGCGACGGCAGCAGCGACAGCAGCAGCTGAGGGGGCTTGTTGCTTTCAGGCGCCTCAATCTGCGAACACGCGGTGGTGAGAGAAGCGGTGCAGAGCGGGGCAGTTGGAATGAAGCAGGAGAGGTGAAGGGGTTGGAGACACGACCATGTAAAAACAGGGCGGCACGGCGAGTGCTTGCTGAATGAGACGGATGCGGCCACAGGAAGCGAGGCGTAGAAAGGCGAGAGGAGGCGAGGCGAGGCGAGGCGAAGCGAGGCGAGGCGGGCCTAGGCGAGGTGAATCGAGATGAGGAGGCGAGGTGACAGGGTGGGATGAGGGCAGGAGGAGGAACCTGTCTCACAAAGCAATGGCGAAATGAGGCCGTAGTGGCAGGCAACTATAGAGCTGGCTGTGGCAGAGGGGTTGCTCGCTCCGCGCCAGGCCTTGCGAGACGAGGCGTTTCGATGGGCGGGACATTTTCGTTCCTTTATAATGGACCTAGTATGGTTCAGTCTGGTACGCAGTATTCGAAAGCGGTGAAAGAACGCTAGAGGAATAAATATAACCCGCCGAGAGACTGTAGTGAGGTGACAGCAAGGTCGTTAGAGCTTCAGTGTTACGAGTGCAATTGAGTGAACGAACGAGAATTGCACTATCGAAGCAAGAGTACAATGAGCGAAGGCATGAGCGAAGAATATATAGCGAAACTACAGTGGTAACGGTAATGGACTGTGGTTGTCGCGCGACGGGCCTGGGACTGAGGTTGGGAAAAGTGTCGAAGCGGAGGCCCGGAGCGCGGGTTACCCGCCGAGCCGTGAGGTCGGGGTGCGATGTGCGAAGTTGGCGGGCGGATTGTCGATGCGAGGGTGGCGGGTGGTAACGGTGCTGACTGTGGTGCTACAGTGCCTGTACGCGTTGAGCAGGGATGCGAAGTAAGGAAAAGGAATTTTCCTTACACTACCCCCCCTCCTAAGGAGGTCCTCCTTACGAAAGTGTGTGTACATCCCTGAAATTTCGGCTGCGCAGATACTTTGTGAGGACGGAGTGGTTTTCGATTCTGTCCAGGGGAACCCAATTGTCTTCGGTGGGTGTACGGTCCTTCCAGCGGAGTAAGAACTCGATCCTTCGGGCTCCTCGAGGGTCGCGAACTCTGTGACTCAGGATTTTTTCGGGGGTGATGATTGGCTCAGTTGGTGGTCTTGTCATGCTGGCTGGGCGATTGCGTGGTAGTTGGCTCGTGGACGGGACGTAAGGGCGAAGTAGGCTGACGTGGAATGAGGGGCTGACGTACCAGTCAGCAGGGAGGAGGAGGTGGGCGGTGACGGGTGTAAGCATGTGGCTTATGCGAAATGGCCCGCAGTATCGGGGGCGGAGTTTCGGGGTGATGGGCAGTCGGAGGTTCTGAGTGTCAAGTAAAACTAAGTCGTCGGACTGGTAAGTGACAGGTCGGCGGTGGCGGTCGGCGTTGCGTTTAGCGATGATGTTTGATTTTTTTATTGCGTCTACTGCCCGGGTCCGTGCTGCTTGTAATATTTCGGCGAACTGTTGTGCTCGTGGTACTGGGTTGTCGGGATTCGGGGTCATGGGTACTGTCGGGTCTTGTCCGTAGTTTAGGTAAAATGGTGACTGTTGGGTCGTGGCGGATGGCGAGTTGTTGTACGCGAATTCGATTAGTGGCAGTTGCTGTTCCCACGTGGTCGGGTCGTCACACGTGGCCCTGATGAGCTGTTCCATGGTCTGATTTGTCCGTTCTGTCTGTCCGTCGGTTTCGGGGTGGTATGATGAACTGAACTGCAGTCGCGTGCCGAACTGCTGCCATAGGTTCCGCCAGAAGTTGCTGGTGAATTTCGTATCGCGGTCGCTGATGATTGCGGCTGGTATCCCGTGCAGTCGAACGACGGTGGAGATGAAGAGGCGTGCTGTTTCTTCGGCTGTGATTGATTTTTTGCAGGCTGCGAAATGTGCCATTTTCGCCAGTCGATCGACGACGACCAGGATCGCGTCGTTCCCACTCGCCCCGGCTGGTAGCCCCGTGACGAAGTCCATCGTCACCTGCTGCCAAGCACGCTCTGGGGGTGGTATCGGCTGTAACTGTCCCGCCGGCCGCTGTCGTGATGATTTCATGAGCTGACAAGTGGGACACGATGCCACGTGTCGCTGTACGTCAGTCAACATTTCGGGCCAGTAATAATACCGCTGCAACTGCTGCCGTGTTTTTTCTACTCCGAAATGCCCCGAGGTAACCCCGTCGTGTGCCTCCTGTATCAGTAATTCCCGTAGCAGTGTATACACAGGCACCCAAATGCGGTCAGTCCCGGTTTTTACGTAATAGACTCCCTTTGCTGCTGCGAACTGCTGCGAATTTCCTCCTGTGAAGAATGGATCCGTTTGGTACCCGTGGGTGAATAGGCCTGTCAGTAGCGGGCTTGTCTGGGCGAGTAGTATTGCGTGGATCTGGGCAGTGGGGCGGGTCAGTGCGTCGGCGATGTTCGAGGCTCCCTTTTTGTAAGTGACCGTGTAGTGAAAGTTGGACTCGAGGAAATCGAGCCAGCGAATCTGTCGTGGGTTGAGGTGTGGCTGTGCGCGAAGGTACTGTAGTGATTTGTGGTCTGTCCGTACTGTCACGTCCGCGCCAGTCAAGTAACAGCGCCATACTTTGAACGCGTGCACGATCGCAAGCATTTCGCGGTCGTGTATCGGGTAATTTTTTTCGGGCGGATGCAGTTTTCGTGACTCGTATGCGATAGGCTGTAGGCCATTGCCGAAATCCTGTAGCAGTACGGCTCTGATGGCGATATTGCTTGCGTCGGTAACTACTTCGAATGGGCGGTGTGGGTCGGCGATGCGCAGGACGGGCGGTGAACAGAGAACATTTTTCAGGGCAGAGAAGGCAGCATGCTCTTTCTCCCCCCACGTAAAAGCGACCCCCTTCCGCAGTAAATCCGTCAGTGGGGCAGTTAACCGTGCCATATCGGGGACGAACCGACGCACATAATTAACGAACCCTAAAAAGCTCTGCAGCTCCGTGATGTTCGTCGGGGGATGCTGAGAAGAAACGAGGAATGGAATGACTAAAGGAAAGTTAGGTACAAAAGCAAACCCTAGAAAACTGTACCCCATATGTGCTACCCCACTATAGCCTACAGTAGCTATGTCATATAAATCTGACACACCCCCATAGGCAAAGTGGGGGAGAACAAGGGGTCACAAGACCAGTCAAGCAAAGCAAAACAAGCTCAGGGTGGATCACAAAGTCACCACACATTCCGAGCACAAGTTCAAGGCCACAAGGCCAGTTCACATGCAGGATTGCATATATATATAAGGCTAGACAAGCAAGAGCAGGTGTATATATATATGCAACAGTACAAGCAAGGTCAAGGGGTGAGCAAGTGAGGCAAGGTAGGCACAAGACCCAGCTGAGTACAGAAGCGCTGATGATCACAAGGCGGAAGTGCCTTGGTGAGATATCAGCAGTGTTGGCCTCAGAGGCCACGTACGCAAGCCGTAGCTGACCACGCTGCTGTAGCTCACGAGCAAGGAAGTAGCGGAGAGCAATGTGCTTCGTTCTGTGCTCCAGTCTCTGCTCTCGACACAAGGCCAGCATGGCCTTGTTGTCTACGTACAGCACTGGAGGAGAACGAGGCGGCTCTCCGAGGTCAGTGAGCAGGTAGGTGAGCCAGCGAAGCTCCTGTGCAGCCATGGCCCCGGCGTAGATCTCAGCCTCACAACTGGAGCCGAGAACAGAAGACGAGCGGGTAGCCCGCCACGAAACAGAGCCGGAACCAAGGCTGAAGGTGTAACCCTGTGACGACCGCTGCGTAGCCTGGTCGTCAGCCCAAGAAGCGTCTGCGTGCCCAGTGAGGACCACTGGACTCTGCCCTCCAAGCACAAGCCCCATGCCCGACGTACTGCACAAGTAGCGCAACACCCTCTTCGCTGCAGCCATGTGCTCCGGTCTGTGTCTCCCAGGAGCAACATAGCGTGCAAGAATGCTAAGAGGGTATGCAAGGTCAGGTCGTGTGCAGGTCATCAGGTACATGAGGCAGCCAACAAGCTCTGGGTACGGGCCACTCGACTCTACGGACTCATCCGAAGGCAGAGCTGAGAGCGAGTGGCGAGTAGGCAGAGGAGTGGCCTGAGGCGAGGAGTACGTGAAGCCGAAGCGCTGAAGGACCTGCTGCACCATGTGTGACTGAGTCAGGGTAATGGTGCGGCGTGCTCTGTCCCGGGTGATCTGCAAGCCAAGGTAGCTGCGCAGTTCACCCAGGTCTGTGCACGTGTGTCTCTTCTGCAGCTCGGACTTCACGTGGGCGAGTCCAGCAGTGTCAGCTGTGGCGAAGACCAAGTCGTCGACGTACACGAGGATGTAGAACGGCGGCAAAGAAGTGTCGGTGCGCAGAAACAGCGACGGGTCGGTAGTAGAGGGAGCAAACCCAAGAGCCGCAAGTGTAGTCCTCAGTGTGTCGTGCCACTCACGCGGTGCTTGGCGGAGACCGTAGACTAGCCGCCGGAGGCTCCACTGGGTGCCAGGAGGAAAGGACCCAGTGAAACCAGGTGGGCGACGCAGCCAGATCTCCTCGTGCAGGCTGCCCTGCAAGAAAGCAGTGCTGAAGTCAAGAGAGTGCAGCTCGTAGTCGAGGTGAGCAGCTATGTGCAGCAGTACCCGAAGAGTGGTCATCTTCGGGGTGGGAGAGAAGGTCTGAAAGTAGTCAACTCCCTGCCGCTGACTGAAGCCACGAGCCACGTACCGCGCCTTGAAGACAGGCGGAGAACCCGGCGGCCGCTTCACCCTGAAAATCCACATGCCACTGACGATGTTCGCCCCAGGCGGGGGAACCTCGTCAAC